TAGTGGCCCCCAGGACCAGGACTGGCTACCCCCTGGTGGTCTCCTTGGTACTCTTAATGATCCCCTGAAGTGTTTCTTTAGTTCTACCATACAGCTAGAGAACCACACAGAGTTTTGGACAGATGTTGCTCTTCCTGAGGACTTCCAGGAAGTAAATATCTTCTTCCCTAGATCTGCTCCTCCATGATGTGCTGCGCCCCCCCCCCCCCCCCGGAAACAGAACAGCGTGTTCAGTACCTGATGATGGGTTTCTGCAGCTCCGGCTGGGTGTAGTGGACCATGTGCTGCAGAATCCCCCACAGGGAGATGGGGATTGTGAGGAACACAAACACGCCGGCGATGAACCAGGCTTTACTGTGAGTCCCAACCTGCAGGAACAAGACCGGGTCAGACCAGGTCAGAACTGGGTCAGATCAGGGCAGGTGGAGGTGGTGAAGCTTTCACCTTGTCCTTCTGCAGCTCCCAGATGCACAGAGGCACCACGGCCGCCAGCAGAACCGCATACAGGACCAGAACCAGCGGGCGGATCCACCTCCGCCACTGAGCACAGGTGCAGGGCATGATGGCTGCTTCACCCTGAGCGCCGACTTACAGGCACATCCGAGTCAAACACAGGAACACGCCTGCATGAGAAAACATGTAACTCTGTGATGAACTTTGTGTTTTGTTCTCACACCTGAACTAAAGAAATGCATATCACCCGCCACCATAAAGAAATGCATATCGCCCTCCACCATAAAAGACTGCATATCACTCTCCACCATAAAGAAATGCATATCACCCGCCACCATAAAGAGATGCATATCACCTACCACCATGAAGAGATGCATATCACTCGCCACCATAAAGAAATGCATATCACCCTCCACTTTAAAGAGATGCATATCACCCACCACTGTGAAGAAATGCATATCACCCACCACCATAAAGAAAAGCATATAACTCGCCACCATAAAGAGATGCATATCACTCTCCACCATAAAGAGATGCATTTCACCCATCACCATAAAGAACTGCATATCACCCTCCACTTTAAAGAGATGCATATCACCCAGCACTATGAAGAAATGCATATCACCCACCACCATAAAGAAAAGCATATAACTCGCCACCATAAAGAAATGCATATCACTCACCACAATTAAGAAATGCATATCACCCGCCACCATAAAGAAAAGCATATCACCCGCCACCATAAAAAGATGGATATTACCCACCACCATAAAGAAAAGCATATAACTCGCCACCATGAAGGAATGCATATCACTCACCACCATGAAGGAATGCATATCACCCGCCACCATAAAGAAAAGCATATAACTCGCCGCCATAAAGAAATGTATATCACCCACCACCATGAAGAAATGCATATCACCCGCCACCATAAAAAGATGGATATTACCCGCCACCATAAAGAAATGCGTATCACCCACCACCATGAAGAAATGCATATCACCCGCCATCTTTCACGTTTTATCTTTTTACGTTAAGTTGCAGCTGTTTTGGTCAAATCTTGAACTTAAATAATCCAGAATATAAAATTGAACGTCCAAAAATCGTTCATCAAAACAACCGGCTCATTCACAAGGCGTGCAATTACTTTAATTGGCGATTGAAGTTACCATGACGACGCGATCAGCCAAAAAACGAGCCTAAAATAACCCCACAGGAGTGAACGGAGAGGCCTCTAAATCTTGTTAAAAAAACTCTCTTTGAAATATTTCTTGAACCGCTGGACAGAACTTCACAAAGTCTTCGACGAACGACCAACATTTCTGTCTCTCCAAAATTCAAAATGGCCGTCCAAGCAAACCTATAAAAGCTGTAAATTAACCCTTTATAGTGAGCAGTGTGACGCCCAGGAGCCTTCAATTCCCTGTAGCTTTACAAAACAAAGACTGAAAATGTCTGTTAGCAAAATATTTCATGAACCACTGCACTGTTTTCTGACATAACTCAGCCATTTTTAGACGTTTGGTTTGGTGGTAGCGAAGAGCGATCCCTACGACATCCACAAGGCTATTCATGATTTAAAGCTAATTCTAGAAAAGGCTACAATTCAGCCTTTTTTAGACAGACACTACTGAAAATTAGCAAAGTAGTAGCCGAGGATGATCTTTTCCTGCCACTCTCTGTGCATGTGTTGTGAATGACTCTCAGCTACTACCACAGCAAGTTTCAATTGAATATCTGTAAAACTGGCAGACTAACAGCTACTTTTCTGCTAGATTTGTGTCAGTTAGCTGTGGCTGCCATTTTGAATTGGATTGGCTCCAGCAGTTAAAGAGGTGTAGAGGCCCTGCCAGTAATTATTTCCTGAAGGTTTTATTAATATCCGTCCAGTGGTTCAAGAGATATTTTGCTAACAGACAGGTTAACTCAAATATTTAACGCTGAATTTTTAAGTACATTTTTCACACAGTGAGTAACCCTCAGAATATGTGATGTGAATCACTCTCAGCTACAACCAACCACATTTTATCTCACTGTATCTATAAATTGGTTGAATTGTAGCTATACTTGAAAGTTATAATATTAGTGGTCTTTCGCGGCCATCTTGAATTGTATTGGCTCCATAAATTACCGAGTTGTTTATGTACATCCGGGTACTAATCCCTGAAAGTTTCATTAAAGTCTGTCCGGTGGTTCATGAGATATTTTGCTAACAGACAAACAGAGTGGACTCCGAATAGGTAATGTTATTTAATACAGTAAATGACCACACCTGCTCTGTTTAATAAACTATCACCTGATATTTAGATTAACTAAGTAAACAATTGGTCACATATTGATTTTGTTGACGTTGTTTTTGTGTAAACAACATAAATCATCTTGTTTATGAGCTGCACAATAAAAACAGGTGGATGAAAAGAGGATCCGCACCTCGAACTGTTTACCTTCAGATTGATGCTCGGCCCGGAGGCAGCCTCCCTGAGTTTGTTGCCAGGCAACGCATTCCTCCTCCTCCTGCGCGCGATACCCCGACCTGTCGCTCACCTGTCGAAGGTCGATCGCATCGATGAGCCCCCTCCTGATCGATGATCAATAATCAGCTCAACAACAACCAGCCGAGTCCACCCCGAGCCGCAGCGGCTATCCTCCTCCTGCGTACCGTTTTACGTCATGACGTCACAGGGAGGAAACGCAGGCTGACGTCGGTCACGTGATATTTTTTATGCCGTATATTGTATATTTGATTATAAATTTATCTATACATATTTATATGTAAATAAATAACAATATTCAGTCAGATAAATTAGATAATAATAAAATAATATTATTCAGATAAATTAGCTTTTGTTTAAAAAGGTATTCAAACTGTAAATTAAAGGTAAAATAATTATTTAAATTTTAAAACAAAATATATTTAAAGAAAAACTTCATAAAAGTGCTGAATTGTAATAAACCCATGTTAATGATTCATATCAAGATATAAGAATTAAAAACAAAAACATAAAGTAATAAGAGAAAATAGAAATTTATATAAGAACATTAAACAATTTTCAATTCAAACATTAAATAAAATTAAATAGCTGTGAACATAAAATTAAATAATGATAACTGATCAGGTGAACAGTTGTTGCAAAAAAAGAGAGAAATAAAACAAACATATCATTTTTTCCTTTAAAACGGAGAGAATTTTTTATCAATCTAAAACAAAATAAAGATAAACATGTAAACAACCCAAGAGTTTTTACAGTTTATTTCATAATACAGAGCTTTAATGAGATTAAAAATACATCAGACAAAAAATAAAACTCCAAAATATCTGAATTTATATTAAAATGTAAATAAAAAGAAAATATCTCCTGTTTAACTTATTATTGTCAAACAATAAGACCCCGGGTCTCTGAATAACTGTAAAAACTGTAAAAACTATAATAACTGTAAAAACTGTAAAAA